GAGAGAGAGAGAGAGAGAGAGAGAGAGAGAGAGAGAGAGAGAGAGAGAGAGAGAGAGAGAGAACCTAACTCGGGAGGGAGCATGGGAATAGACAGTGAGGCAGGGTGAGGATGGCTTATTGCAAAGCGGGGCGGAGAAGGGGGGGTGGAAAAGGTGGAGAAGCTGGTACCCCGGCACTTGGGACTCTGGGAGCTTGGGTGGTGCCTCTGCCTCCTATTTTCTCTGTGTTGTTCCTTGTAGTCCCCCTTTTTGTCGTTTTGTGCCACTGTGATTGACTTCACTGTCCACTGATTTATCTTGTTTTCGTATCGTTTTTTTGTCATTTTGTGCCTCAGAACAATCTGCTTACCACATACGATCGTTCCCCGCCCCCCGTAAGCAACTGAAGGTTCCCTGATGGTTCCCTGATGGTTCCCTGAAGGTTCCTGATGGTTCCCTGATGGTTCCCTGATGGTTCCCTGATGGTTCCCTGAAGGTTCCCTGATGGTTCCCTGAAGGTTCCCTGATGGTTCCCCCCATGAGAAGGCTTGTTTGGAAGATAGGGGGAGGGTGAACATAAAGGTTCCCTGATGGAAAGTCAACGATTGGTGGAAACGGAAGTCAAAGGCAATGATTGATGGGAAACGGAAGTCAAAGGCAATGATTGATGGGAAAGGGAAGGCATACCAACCGTTCTAGCTCCGTTGCTGCACTCACGAACTGTTGAAACGCAGATCCAAGTTCGAATCCAGATGCAATCGGGGAAAGAGAGAAGTCAACGGGATCGATGCAAAGAGGCAAGAAGTCAACGTTGGCTATGGATATGCGCCAAGCTACTGTTGGGGCCGTCATGCTGATTGACGGTTGGGATCTCACCAAGCTACTGGCTGGTCAGCGCACATGCAGACTGTGAGCATCGTAGACGAACGTGGAGATGCTGTTTGTCAGTGTGTGGATTCGAACTTGGATCAGCATGATGTTAAACATTACGGATTTTTTTTTTTTTTATGAAAAGCACACATCGATCTGCGAAACAGAATCTTTTTTTTTTTTTTTAATTCCCCCTCGGAAAGTGGAAAAGGAAGAGGTCGTATCGATGGCACACGCGCTACAGAGTAGCTGACAATATTTCAAACACTCCGACAGCTCTTCGACTCAGCGGACCTGGCTATTTGTCCCAGCAGTCCCATGTCCCATCGGTTCCAGTAGTCCCATGTCCTGTCAGTTCTGGTAGTCCCATGCCCCGTCAGTTCTGGTAGTCCCATGTCCCGTCAGTTCTGGTAGTCCCATGTCCCGTCAGTTCTGGTAGTCCCATGTTCCCGTGGTCGAAGTGTTTCAGGAGTTTTTCAGAGTCGAGCACAGAGTAGTCGCATTGTGAATATGACCTCACGAGGGAGGAGATGGTGGATATCGTGCAGGCCAGGCTGCCAGCGGCTGTAGATTGACGTCCTTTTTTGCTATGGAGAGGGAGGAGAGGGAGGAGAGGGAGGAGAGCATAAGAAATGGGATGAGAATTGGATGACAGGACAGGGATAAGGAGAATGCAAGGAGGGTCTAGAAGGGGGAGATGCTCATACAACTCCCCCTAGTAAGACTGTGACTGAGTCTTCAAAGAAAAAAAAAAAGAAAAAAAGGAAAAAGGAGGAGGATGCGGGGAGGGGGAGAACATAAAAGAAACACAATAAGAATGGGAGGAGGACAGGATCAGTATTTGGAACAGTTCTGTTGAGTGCTGAGACTCGGATTTAGATCGAACGTAAGCAGTCTAGGAGCAGGTTCAGGGTAGGATTTGGGAGAGTGGGTGGGCGGGATTAGTGAGAAATATGCTACTGATTGCCCATTTGCAGTCTGGTATGAAGATTTTTTGAAGAGGAGTGTGTGTGTGTGTGTGAAGGAGGTGGTTTTCCAGTACTAGCTTGTGTTCGAGCAGCGTTGAGAGGTGGTGGTTGGGATAGTAGTCACCAGCAAACTGCTTGCCTTTGATTCTCTCTCTCTCTCTCTCTCTCTCTCTCTCTCTCTCTCTCTCTCTCTCTCTCTCTCTCTCTCTCTCTGTGTGTGTGTGTGTTTGTTCTGGTGCTGTAGCCTGCAGGTCAGATGGCCTCAGTCTGCAGCTCAAAGGACTGCAGAGGCGTGGAGGATGCGAACAGGGCATCGTCCTGTCACCGGCAGATGCTGTCGTCAGTGGAGGCAGTTTGTGTGGACAGTTTGGATAGGTTAGCAGAGGCGAGTATGGCGTCGCATTCCACTCTGTCGCTTACTTGTGGTAGCAGCGCCAGCGTTGACACAAGTGTCCCGATCTCAGATCCCAATCCTCATGCTGCAGCTACTGCTGATTTCTCAGATCCCAATCCTCATGGTGCGAATCCTGACCTTGTTACAGAAGTGGTGAACAGCAACGCCGGCGATTTGGAAAAACCGCCGCCGCCGCCACTGCCGGTGAAGATCAGTCCTGTCGAGTATCGACAATACCGTGATGAGAGGGATCTTCCGTTGATTATGAAGATCATTGACGAGGAGTTGTCCGAGCCGTACTCCATTTTCACTTATCGATATTTCATAAATCAATGGCCACAACTTTGTTACATGGCGTTCAGCGGCGGCCAGTGCATCGGGACGGTCGTGTGCAAGTTGGACCAGCACCGGGAAATGTACCGAGGATACATTGCGATGCTTGTCGTCATCAAGCCTTTCCGCGGCCGCGGGATCGCGTCGGAGCTCGTGAAGCGGTCGATCGAGACAATGCGACTGCAGGGGAGCGACGAGGTCGCGCTAGAAGCGGAAGTTACGAACAAGGCAGCGCTGGCGCTCTACGAGAACTTAGGCTTCATAAAGGCGAAGCGACTGCACAGGTATTATCTAAATGGGGTGGATGCGTTTCGCTTAAAGCTCCTCTTCCCTTACAGTGGTGCTCAGCAGCAACAGCAGCAGGCAGCAATTCAATACGGAGGCGAAGATGGTGGTGGGCAAAGTGCTTGTGCATGAATCTGGTTGATGAATCAGGGCGGGGGGGGGGGGAGAGAGAAGACATGACAAAAGGATGCACAATCGTTGTTGCTGGGACCGAATGGGACTAAAGCTGTTGTTGCTGGGACCGACTGGGACCTAAAACTGCTCTTCCCTAACCACGGGGAGTGAAAAGCAGGAGCCAGCAATTTATGAGGGTAGGCCTGATAAACCAGTTACAATGCAACCCCCGCTGAAATGTGGATGGGTTCTGGAAAAGGGGCTGGCTATTCCCAGTGATCCCCTTTCACGACGAGCTTGAGTCTTTGTGGGGGTGGGCAAGAAAAGCGCTTGTGGATGGATCTGGTCGATGAAGCAGGGAAGATGCGTGACGAATGTGGATTGGTAATTGTTGATGGGACAAGTAAAAAGATGGATAGGCTTGGTGGCAAATCGTTTGTGAATGAATCAGAGGGGCAACGAGGCAGGGCCCCAGGGGGGCTGCGTGGGAGAGGGTGGGGGGGCAGGTGCTGCACTGGGTAGGGGATTGATATCATTTTGGGGGGGGGGGGGTGGGTTCTCTCTTCTTTTTTTTTTCCCCTTTCTTTGCAAGGGATGTATCTGGCCGAATGTTGTTGCCAGGTTCAGTAGTTTGAGTAAAGTTCTAGGCCATGGGGGGGACTTTGGGGGATGCATCTGGCCAGCATTATGACCAGATGCAGTGCCGATTTTTGGGGTTGTAGTGATGGCAATAGAGAGCGATTGCTTGTCCGAAATACGTAATGAATTTACAGTTTGTTTTTTAACTTTGATTTTTTTTCATTTCTGATTTACTAATTATCATGTACTACATGTAGCAATTTCCCTCTTCTCTTCCTTTTTTTTTTTCTCCTCTTGTTTTTTTGGTTGAGTGGCTTGAGCCTGATTATCATGGTGGTATGGTGTGGTTGATTACCATGTTTTTTTTTTTTTAATTACCCTCCTGTTTTTTTCTTTTCTCTCATTTATTTCAAATATTTGTTGATTAATTGGGATAACAACATTCTTTAAAGAGAATCGAAAGAGATAAAGCAAAAGCTCTCTTTTTTAAGTTTTTTTTAATACAAACTTACAGCTGATAAGAAAGAGGGGGAGGCAGAAACAGGGAAAGAGGTGAAGAAGGAAGCAGCACAAGGACAGAGTACTACCGTTTCCCCCGAATGTAACGCACTGTGAGAATGAATGTGTACAAGCTATGTTTCCGGTCCGGTACAGCCAAAATGAGGGTGTGTTGTGTTCGGGGTAGGGAAGCGATAGGATAGGGGTATGGAAGAAAGAGACAGGGGGAGAGGAGGAGAAGGTAGGTGCTTACTATGCTATGATGCCAAATAGCAATATCAGCAGAGAAATTTAAAGAATAGTAGAATACCATTTTTTGGAATTCCCCCCGCGCCCCCCCCCCCAAAAAAAAAAAAAGCTCACACACAAAGTTAAACACAGAAAAGAAAAAGAGTCCTGCTGAGCAGCAGGGAGTGTGTGTTTGTCAATTATTAGAGTGAATATGGAAAAAAAAAGTCTGAAAAGGAATGGAAAGAGCCTCGTTGCCTTGACTTCTGGGTTAACCATACACTGCACAGTGGGTCCTCTTTTTTTAAAATAGTAAAACAATAAAATTTAAGCAACTTAAACATTGAAACAAATATGTACATAAAGTTGTAAACAATATTCTTAGTGGGGACAATTAATGGAATGTTCCCAATTCTTTGGGCCAGTTTAAACCACCAGTACGCCGCCCAGCCAATTTTTGCCGAAGTGGCCATTAAGTTGCGTTAACACGTCGCGTTGGACGGGGTCGCTGGAGGGAAGGGCCAGGCGCAGCCGAAACTGGTGAAAAACGGGAAAAGGGAAAAAAAAAAAAAAAAAAAAAAAACACTACTTTTTGGAATTTGCAGACATCGGGGAAGGGTGCTTGACGAGGTCGTGCTGACTTCCTTTCTTTGCAGATTGAATCTCACAGTTATAATGGTGCGATTCAGATTGTTTTTTTTTTTTTTTTTTTTTTTTTTTTTTTTTTTTTTTTTTTGTTTGTTTGTTTGTTTCCCCTTTCTTTATGTTTTCCTGCCAACTCGGCAGGGCGTTTCCCGTGATAAGTGCAAACGCCCTTGTTAAGGGCAATACTCAAACTGGCACATCTTAGATTGTATTCAAGCCGTTGCAAAGCCAAAGCACCATTTCTCTTTTTCCTTCTTCTTCTTTTGCTTCAAAGCTTCCGAGTTTTTTTCTGACAACAAGGGGCCGTTGCTTTTTTTTTTGGCTCCTGCAAGGAAAATGAGAGAGAGCGAGATGACAGAATCCAGATAGCACAATCACATTGAAAGCAAGAAAGTCCCGCAGTGTCCAGAAAGCAGCATTGCACCAATATTACACCAATGGAGAACTGAAACACTGAAACCAAATGTCAATGAGAGCTTACTCTCGTCCCCACCAACATACGTATCCAGGCCCTCTCTCCCTACTTGGCGCTCAGCGCCCAGGCTACTCCCTACACAGCTACTTCCTGCCTACGTATCGACAATGCAACTGCTAACGTCAGCAGCCGCCGAAGTACTTGAAGATGTCGACCAATGCAGACCATCGCCGATACCAGGTATGCGTCCTCACATCATCGTCCTCATCTCTTTCACTCTCTCCCTATCCTTGTCTTCCTCCCACGTCTTCTCCCTTATGCACGAAGACCACCACCATCTCCACTGGCTGTCCAAGCCAAGCCCTGGCTATGTAGGGCTGGCTATGGCGCTGCCCTCGGCAGCGCCCTGCCTTCCTCCAGCGCCCGCCTGCACTGCCTGGCAGCTAGCGCTAGCGCACAGCGCACAGCCTGTGAGCGCACGCTCAAGCAGCGCTGCCGCATGCACTGCCTAGTGCCCGAATGCCTCCACCAGTGGCGAGCTCTTTCCTTTATGGAAAGTGCTCGCCCCGTCTGCTCCCTGGCTGGGCCTCGCGTAATATTTCCAGTAGCTTCCAATCGGGCCAAAGTGTCTGCCCCCATAGTGCCCTGGGACCGAATTGGTTGCGCCTGCCCAACCACCCAAACGTGAGATTCTCCCTGCTTCGCCTGTGCTGCTGGAAGAGCGTAGAAGGCTCAAGAATTATTTATGATTCTCACGAGTATGGAGGATGAAACCAACTGGCGCATCCCAACTGTGGGCCCACCAAACTTTGCCAAAATTGATGAACTCAGTCCATATTGAAATTCAGGGGCCCGCCTTCACTTAGGGCGGGCTCATGCTTGCTGAAAGGGCCCTACATGGGCATGCCAAGGAGCCAACTCGTAACAAAGCCTTGTCGAAGATCCATGCCCACATGGGGTTTACCACAGGCTCTGCTTGGGCCCCTCAGCCTGGTCTCAGAGCCCTATAAACAGGCATTGGAAAAGATATTTGCAGGCCCACCTTCACTTAGGACGGGCACGACACTTGCAGACACTGCCGAGGTACTAAATCTTCGCACTTCTTCGTTTAGATCCTATAATCTCTCCACAAGGTCACGGGGTCTGAGACGCCCTCATTGAGGGCATGCTCACGCTAGCACTTCCCATAATGTAGTCTCTCCCCGGGTGGTGGTGTTGTCTGCTCTTACCAGCTTCACCATCACCAGCAGGGGGGAGTTTCTGAAAAAAAAAAAAAAAAAAAAAAAAAAAAAAAAAAAAGAGGGAGGGAGCTGGTTGACACTCGGAGTGGATATGAGCATTCTCTGAGGGAGGGTCCTGCCAATTGTGATGGTTCTGGCAGTTCTACTGGTGGGGAGCTGCACCTGGTGGAAACCGGGTCCAGCGTCCCAGACGAGCACATTCTAAGAGCTCAATGTAATCGAAAACACCCTTGATAACCCTCTTTTGGAGGGGATTGGTTGTTTCCCGAAGCGGCTGGCTGTGTGGCCTGCCAAGCAGTGATGCCTCTTTTGGGCGCTAAATTCGCCGCCAATAATCTCAGCCTACGAAGCATCAATGTCTACTCAGCTTATCACTTCTGTTCCCCCTGGCCCCTGTTCCATGCCAATTAATGCTGTTGTCATGGCATATGAGGGTTGTTTTTGACTTGCAGATGCAGAGAGATTGCCCTCACCCGCCGGCCGACCCGGGCTTCGGGGACGCGAGGAAGGGGAGGGGAGGGGAGGGGGTTGTGAAGGAGGGGAATGCTGGCAAAGAGATCTGGGCAGTCCAGTGTTTCCCTGGGTTGTAGGGTGTGGATAGCGGGTACGAGGACAAGGGGTGGGGATGGGGATGGCGATGGGGAGAACGAGGAAAGAGGGGGGAGAGGGGAGGGGGGCTGCGTGATGGTTCGGGGCAATCAGGAGGGAGGGGTGGCGATGAGGAGATTAGCCAAGATCTGAATGACAGTGTGTGTGTGGGGGGGGGGGGGGGAAGAGGGGGGGAGTGGTGCGGGAGCGGGAGTGGATATGCGATCTGCCGCATTGGGGTGACCCAGGCAGCCAGGCTAGGTGGTTGTGGAGCGGGACTGGTAGGCTCGTACGGGCTGCGTGTTGGCTGCAACCTCATTCCATTTCGTCACCAGCCCACGCGAGTTGCCTCCAGGTAATGGTGTTGAAGCGATATGGCAGTCTCAGCATCGATACTGCCTCAGCCACAAGCCAGTTTTTCCAGAATCGGCTCCCGTCCTTCACTTCACACATTTCCCTCCCTTGCTCAATGTATTATACATGGTGTTGAAGGTGCCGATGACTTAATCATTGTGGCCTGTTTCTTCATGTTTCATAGTCCAGTCCTTCGTTTTGTGTACGCCGGTCTTGGTTTTGCCGGCCATCTACGTCACCGACAGGACACACAGGATCGTTTATCCTGTGGGTAGTGCAGATGGCCGGAATACCGGCGGCAGACAAGGATACAGGATACGTCTGGCCATCTTGTATCCTTTCGATAACACAGATGGCCGGAATACAGCACTGGACCATGAAGGATAGGACTTCGCGCAGCCATCTGCGGTAGTGTCGGGCCTGCCTGGGGTTATCTTGGTTGCCCAAGCGGCCTGGGGGTTCAAGGGCCAGGGTCCTTGTCAGGAAAAAAAAATAAAAATAAAAAATAAAAATAAAAATGAAGTCCCTTTTTATTTAAATAAAAAAGACAATGCTATGCAGGAAAATAAACTGAAAAAAAAAACGAAAAAAAACCTGAGGGTTATAACCGTCGCATCGAAATTCTTTGAGAACACATTGAACTGATCGGTGGAGACCTTGCGACCCCTGAATCTGCAGTTCTTTGACATTGTATTTCTGCCTTGGGCACTGGGCCCTAATAAAACTACTGTTTTCTTTAAAAAAAAAAAAAAGAAACGACTGGACCAAGCTGGATGACTCAATCCCAATGCGGCCGAGCGGCGAATTCCCGGATTTCTCCCCCCCCCCCCCCCCCCCCCGCTAACAGCCTGGTAGGAGCCTCTTGGTACGGGGGGAGAGTGAATGGAATAAGACGGGGAACAGAGGGAGACACAAGAGTACTCAGAGAGCAACGGGACTACGGGGAACGACGGACGAGGTAGTACCTAGAGGAAGAGAGGGGTTTGAAAAGTCGATATGCATATATATAACACTTGTTCTGTAGGGGGAGGGGGGAACTAGGTTGTAGCAGTGGATATCTGGCACCGGGTTCAAGGTGAAGAGGCTCCCCCCTCCCGTCATTCCAGGGTCTCTCTACTGACAGGATTTTCCCACAAGTCTGTTTGCTATGATGTATTCATACATATGGGACGCTGGACCCGTTTTCCAGCAGGTGACGCTTCCCACCAATAGATGGAGCCTCTCCCCGGGTGCTAGTGGTGGCTGCTCTTACCAGCATCA